CAAAACAACTTAAAAGAAAAAAAAATAAACGAAAATTTTAACAAAAACAAAAGCTGTTCCGACTCTTGCAGAAACAGCTAAAACAAAAAAATAACGGTGTTTAAGAATTTTTTGTTTGTTACCTTTATCTTTTTGGAAAACAGATCAAACTATCTGTAAGGGAAAATGTGTTTGAAATTCTCACAGCGATTCCCAGGCAAAGCACTGGTAAAACACAACAAAAGTGTGAAGTGAAAAATGTGTACGAACCCTATAAATCAAACTGAAACTTTAACCTCTTGTCACGTGGCTCCTGATGATGTCACCATGAAGATTTCATTTTGACAGCCCAAGGGTTGTTGGACTACCTATGCTTTCAATACAAAGTTACTCAGATGTATGAGTGCGCCAGTCTTTGATGTTAGAAGAAACGTGCACAAAACCTATGGAGAAAAACTGTAGCTTTAAAGTAATGTCACATGATTTGTGTTAATATTGAAAACAAATTCTGAAATATTATTTGATATTTGGACTTTTGGGTATATTTGTTATTGAACAATGATGGGAAAAATCACGATTTTTCTTTCATTCCCATAGTAATTCTCAGCAGAAGTTCAGGACTACCCTCATTAAGATCAATAATATTGCATAGTAAAAAAACATGTACAAAACCTATGGGGAAAACTGCAGCTTTAATCTCATGTCACGTGACCCCTGATGATGAAATTTTGACGATTTTTCTTTGGGATCCTCTCTTCATGAGGGACTTCAAGTGTACATTGAAGGAAATAATTCAGATCGACCAAAGTGCCGAGGACAGGCTGATGAAAAACGTATACAAAACCTATGGGGGAAGATTAAATATCCAAAAATCAATTGCAGGCTTGAAAACGTATACAAAGTCAATGGGCTGAAATAAATATTGAAAAATCAATACATCACTTGATGACGTCATCATGACGTCATTTACTTAAAATAATTCTTGTACTGGGTCTTTGTTGGCTATCACTTTGATAACGATCAAACACAACAAAGGTTTCAAAATTGTGCCTTGAAAATGTGTACAAAGTATATGGGCTAAAATAAATATTGAGAATTCAACACTAAATCACATGATGACATCATCATGACATCATTTCTGTAGAATAATTCTTGCATAAGGGTCTTTGTTGGCTATCACTTTGATAGCGATCAAACATTGCAAAGGTTGAAAATAGTGCCTTGAAATCGTGTACAAAGTCAATGGAAAAAAAATTAAATATTCAAAATTCAAAAAGAAATCCTGTGATGATGTCATCATCACAAATTTCTTCTAGGACCATCCTTGGATGATTGTGCAAAGGTCTGCCAAGTTTGAAGTTCATCAGATTTAGTAAACTGCCAAAGTTGACAAGTGGAGGAAAACGTGTAGAAACCCTATGAGGAAAAGTCTGAAAAAGGAAAAGAATAAAAAACTAAAGAGAAGTGTTTGTAAACAAGTACAAACACAGAGCTGTTTCGGGACTGTTTTACCAACAAAATAAGTATTAGCAAATGTGACGAAAAAAACTAGCATTAAGAAACTATGGAGAGAGTAAAAATGACAAAATCAAGACTACATTTTATCCTGGCACTTGCTGCAAACAGAATGTTGCGGAGGGCACGGTTGATTTCATATGGGTTTGTATACATTTAAAGGAATATTTATGTATTCCAAATTTAACAATACATCACGTGATGACGTCATCATGACGTAAATATTTTAGAATTATCTTCGATGTATAGTTAGTGCTTGCTGTAAGTTTGACGATAATCAACAATTACTAAGGTACGAAAATAGTTCCTAAAAAAACGAGTACAATGTCAAGAGGCTGAAATTAATATTGAAAAATTAATAATAAATCACATGATGACATCATCAAGACGTCATACATTTGGAAGTGTCTTTGCATAAGGGTCTTTGTTGGCTGTAACTTTGACGTTGATCAAAGCTCTCAAACGAACCCAAATGCTGGCTTGAAAACGTGTACAAAGTCAAGGGGCTGAAATAAATATTGAAAAAACAAGAGTAAATCATATGATGACGTCATCATGACGTCATTTATTTAGAATAATATCTGTATCAAGGTCTTTGTTGGCTGTCATTTTGAAAACGATCAAATACATCCGAAAGGGTTCAAAATTGTGCCTTGAAACGTGTACAAAGTTAATGGGCAAAAAACGTCATTTGGAGAAACACTGCTCCTTTAATTTCGTGTCACGTGATTTGCGCTTAAACTGAACAATTTTTATGAAATATTACTTCATATTCGGACTCTTAGGCATATTTC